TCTCTCTCTCTCTCTCTCTCTCTCTCTCTCTCTCTCTCTCTCTCTCTCTCTCTCTTTCCTTTTGTCTCTCTGTGCATTTTTCCTTTTTTTCTTTCATCTGTCTCTCACTTTTTCTTTGTTTTTTCTTTTTTTTCTTTTTTTCTTTCTTCCTTTCTTTCTCTTTCTCTTTCTCTCTCTGTGTGAGTCTCTGTGTCTGTGTCTGTGTCTGTGTCTGTGTCTGTGTGTGTCATTGGTGGGTTTCAAAAATTTTTGGACCCTCTTCTGTAGGTGTGGCCTGCTTTCTGGTGGAACCTCTTCTAACCGGTTCGGTAGCTGATCCCTTTTCGGAAGGTTAACACTATCATAACATGGTTATTCTGCTATAGCGTGCAAGCAGTTCATTCACCACATTTCATTCCAAAAAGGCCCCAGGTGACTGGGAGACTGGGAGTTCTAGTTCCACCTTGGATGAAAGCCAGCCAGCTGACTTGGGGCAAGTCGCTCTCTCTCCGCCCAACTCATCTCACAGATCTGTAGTTGTTGGGATAATTGGAGGAATAGAATAGAACCATGATGGCAAATCTATGGCACATGTGCCAGAGGTAGCCCACAGAGCCTTCTCTGTGGGCATGTGCACCGTTGCCAGCTGCTTTTCCAGATTCTGTTGTGTGCATGTGTGCCACAGCTGATCCAGCATGCATGTGTATTGGCCACCTGCTCTCTTCCGAGTTCTGGCGGGCACATACATGCCGGACAGCTAGTCTTTGTGTGAAGACCAAGTGGCTGGCACCCATGAGCATGCTGGATCCCAAAAGAGAGCAGCTGGCCAGTGCACATGTGTGCCTGACCAACTGGTCAGCGTGCATGCATGTAACGGAACCTGGAAGAGCAGCTGGATGCTATGCCCATGCGTACTGGCCAGCTACCTCTCTTCCAGGTTCCGGCACATGCTCCAGTTTTGGCACTCAGTTTGCCAAAAAGGTTAACCATTCCTGGAATAGAATAACAGAGTTGGAAGGGAGCGTGGAGGTCTTCTAATCCAAACCCCTGCTTAGGCAGGAAACCCTACACCAGACATGTGGTTATCTAGGAAGAAGGGGAAGTGTGTTGGATATTTTCGCTGCCTTGAGTTATTTGCCAAAAATAATAAAAGTGAGAAACAAGGCAAGACAAAGCAGAAAAATAGAAGTCCCATACAAGGAAATGACAATGAATCATAGACAAGCCCCTTTGAGGTTTAGGTTAGAGACAACTGCAATCCAGACAAACTCAAGGAATAGAGAAACGGGCTGTTGGATCTCACCATCCATGGTGCGAGCCACAACTTTGGAAAATTGAATTTGCAATGCATGGGACAATGGTTTCAAATTGAGAAATGTAGAGTATTGTCCATGGGTCCATTATGGCTTTCCGTTCATCTCTCTAGTGACCTCAGAGTTTAAATGGAGAAACCAAAAAATTCCCCGGATCAGAAGTTGGATTGACATTCTGGCGTCTGAAGTCATTTTGGGTTTGGGGTTTCTACAAGCTCTTGGAATGCGGTGGCTCAGTGGCTCAGATGCTGAGCTTGTCTATCGGAAAGTTTGGCAGCTCAGCAGTTCGAATCCCTAATTCCGCATAACGGAATAAGCTCCTGTTACTGGTCCCAGCTTCTGCCAACCTAACAGTTCGAAAGCACGTAAAAATGCAAGTAGAAAAATAGGAATCACCTTTGGTGGGAAGGTAAGAGGGTTCCATGCACCTTCGGCGTTTAGTCATGGTGGCCACATGACCACGGAGACGTGTTAAGACAGCGCTGGCTCTTCGGCCTGTGAAATGAAGATGAGCATCACTCCCTAGAGTCCGGAACGACTAGCACATATGTGTGAGCGGATCCTTTACATTTACCTTAAGCTCTTGGTGATGTATAAAACAAGGCATGGTAGTTGAGAAGTTTTAAAACCTACCTTCTCATATGTGAAGAGAGTGTGGAGTATGCCCAGGTCAATGAATGCTCACCATTTCCTTTTAAAAAAAAAATGTGCTTTACTTACTAGTACCTTTATTAACTTTGCTCTCTTCTATTGATATGAGATGTAGCACTGCTCTTATCTGTCATGCTCTAAAAGAGCATTAGCAATTACACAAAGAGGTGCTATTAAAGGCTATACTTCTCCTTGTTCAAAGGTAGTGCACCATTCAATCCCGGTTGACAATTGACACCAATCCGAAAGATGTTTTGCTCACAGGCCCATTGTTCAGTTCTACAGGACTCGGTTTTCATGTTGAACAGAACAAAATAACAGAGTTGGAGATCTTCTAGTCCAATCCCCTGCATCAGCAGGTGACCCTATACCATTTCAGACAAATGGCTGTCCAGTCTCTTCCTAAAGAGACTTTGGTCTGACCTAAGCATAGTGCATAAAATTATCTGCTACAATGTCTTACCTGTCAATGAATACTTCATCTTCAACCACAATTATACATGAGCACACAATAGATGCAAACTTAAGATAAACCGCTCCAAACTCAATTGCAGAAAATGCGACTTCAGCAGCAGAGTGGTCAACGCATGGAATGCACTACCCGACTCTGTGGTTTCATCCCCAAACCCCCCAAACTTTAGACTGTCTACCGTTGACCTCACCCCGTTCCTAAGAGGTCTGTAAGGGCCATGCATAAGCGCACCAACGTGCCTACCGTCCCTGTCCTAATGTTCCTTTTTATTCATCTCCATTTCATGTATCCAAAATCATGTTTATACTTATATCTGTTCTCTAATACATGATTGATGAAATAAATAAAACAAAATAAAAATAAAAAGCCTCCAGGGATGGAGCACCCACAACTTCTGAAGGGAAGCGGGTTAATTGTTCTCACTGTTAGGAAGTTTCTCCTTAATTCTAAGTTGCTTCTCTCCTTGAGTAGTCTCCATCTGTTGCTTCTCCTGATGCTTTGGAAAATAAGTTGACTCCTGTTCTGACCCCCCAAGTCCCACACCAACACACACTCCGAGCCAAAGATAAGCTACAGCATTTAATTAACAGACAGACAGGTCCTTGGCAGCAATCCAGCACAGATAAGGCTTGGCAGCAATCCAGCCTGCCAAGCTCACCATAATGTTCTCTGACATTAGTTCCTGCGTTGACTTCTGCAAGAGGGGCATGTGCACAAGTAGTCTTTTTATAGTTTGGAGAGGAGCCTAATGACCACCAGCTTAGAGCAATTACCTCCTGTAACTGCGCAACTGTTCCTTACGCCCATTAGCTCTTTGGTGCCGGCCATCCAGGAACAACTCACTACTGGCCTCCGGCTCCCTCTCCCTTGTC